TCGCTAAATCGGAGTTGATCTATCTGACGATGGAAGTTTCGGTTAGAACCGTTGGGCAAATTAGGAGTTTCTCTAGCCCAAACTGGCGTCGAGATATTCGGTTGGTCTAAATTAGGTTGGTTAGTGCGGTTGGTTGGACTAAGACTCGCCGAAGGCTGAGCTGGTTGGCCATTTAAATTCAAACGATCTAATAAGTTAGTTAAAGTATTTTCGATCTTTTGCTCTATCAGCTGTTTAACACGGCTTTCAAAATATCCGAGCAAGGACGCTTGTCTGGCTGATATTACTGCAGATACGATTTTGCGCATACGATTCTCTTCTTCACTGGCATTACGGCTTATATTTATACCATCTACACCAGGCAGGCTTGCAGCGCCTTCAGTTTGGTGTTCTTTAGCTTGCTCCCTTGCTGGCATTCCTAAATCTCTAGAAGGGTTATCTGACTGCAAAGCGGTACGGGATCTGGTGCGCGCACCAGTAATTTGGGAGAAGTCCCTGCTGGTACACCTTGCGCGACACTGTGGGCATGAGGGGTTCTTTTTAAGCCAATTTAAAAGACATATTCGATGAAAATTATGGGAGCAGGCAGTTATTAAAATGTCATCACGTTCTAGTAAGCCCTCTTTACATATTGAGCACGCCTTGGCCTGTGGAGGCAGGTGTTCTTTACTGTGACGTATCGACATTTTTTTTAAAACAAAAACTTATATTTGTTAATCAAAACCAAAAGAAAAAACGATGAATAGAAACGTTATCAGTACTATATATGTACTCACTGACACTTTTTTTCGAAAGGCAAAAAAAAGTAATGATTGACCAAACGATCCACTTAAAAAAATATATGAAGGCTCGATGGAAATCCGATTAAGGTTTTATTGAATCCCCTTGAATCTTAAGTTGACTTATTTTAAATAAATGTGCATAAGTATCTAAATACTTAGAAATAATCGAGAAAAAAAATCGTTAGATTCAAAAGAAGATTTGCAAAAAAAAATAGTCAAAAGCAATAAAAAATTTAATCAAGGCAAAGGTAAATAATCATCAAGAAAAATTTGGTCTTTTTCTTTCGGTTGCGTGGAGATCTACGTTTCGGTTAAGGCAATCATAGGCTACGGGAAGCAGATAATTAATTAATTTGTAGCATATCAAATGAGAAAATATTCGGTTATAGTCTACTGTGCACTACAAAATTCCGAACTCTCAGATATTTTATACAAAATTAAGAAAATTAAATATCTCGAATGGAATGTGAGACAAACGATTATCAATCTCATCAAAACTATGCAACTTGATTAAACCATCGGTTAGCTAGACGGCATGAAGCCATACTACAACTAATATTCCTATTAGTGAAATCAGCAATGGGTTGTGCGCTGGGCTTGGGACCCGCCACGTAAAAACCACTTCCAGTGAAGAAGCAAGGCAAAGCCTCGGATGAGACCCCCCCTTATGATGACGACCACGGCAAATGTTTAAAGGACTACGATTTGAGGGCATGCACCTGGAATGTCCGGACCCTTAATGGGGAAGGTGCCTCTGCCCGGCTGGTTGATGTCCTCGTAAGGACAAAAGCTGACATCACCGCCATCCAAGAAATGCGTTGGACGGGGCAAGGCAAA